TGAACATACGCTATAAGAGCATTTTGGAAAATATTTTTAAACTGAGATGAGAAAAAAAAAATCAGTATCGATACAGATTCCAAGCAGATGCCAAAGGCTTCTGTGCATGTTAGTGATTATGTGTGTGGCCTACATGGGCTAATTTCAGATGCCTCCAAGATGCACTGAACTTTCACTTTTATAAGCTACTTGGAATTAAAGCTAGGACCTCACCCTTAGCAACTCTGACGATGGACACAACTACAAGATGAACTAATCAAGCCAAACAAGTTGAAGTTTCCCCTCACGGATGGATCTTCAGTGACTACTGCATTTCACCAGACAGGCTACACTTAGTATTTTGACAGCTGTTTATTAAAATTGCTTTCCTCGGAAATCCTATGAAACCACTAGCCTACTTTTTATCAGAGTTGAGACGATCGGGGAGAAGCTGTGATGATGGCATACTTGCAGCAGGCGGACAACAATAGGAAACTCTTAGCACTCCCGGAGTTGCATCAAATTTTCCACGGACCGAAACTAAAGTGAAATCGTTCAATTACTGAGAGGTAGATAAGTAAAATAAACAACTAATTTCATAGAGTGGAGCTGGGAGAAAGTCATATGGACCTCATTCTGTTGTCTCCAAACACATTTTATCGGAGGGGAAAAAGGAGCTGAATAAACTTTAAACTCTCATGTAGGGATGTATTGCTTGTGTGTCCCTGGCAGATGTGGAAAGGAGATGAAATGGGCAAGGGAGAATCAAATATCCCATCGCTGCAGGTTTGCTGAGGGAAAGAGCACTGCAAAGATCTCACATCTGGCAATCATTTGTCAATAGCTGGAAAGAGAACGGCAGGAAACTTTCTGGCTCTTGGAGAAGATGAAAAGACAAAAACCATGTGTCACACACACACACTCACACACACACGCGCGCACGCGCGCTCTCTCTCTCTTTGCAATGGTACAATGACTACTACCCTTATTCTCTACCCCTCCTTTCCTCTCTAAATTTAATGATCTTCAGATATACTCTACTCCATGGTCAAAAACATGCAGTCACTTGACTTGTTAAAGCTGCAGTCTATGTACATTTTTCAAATAAACCCCAGGGCTGATGTTAGAAAATCAGAATCAGTCAAGCATAGACCGCCTGGTACTTTGGGCAGGAATCCTTGTGGTTTAGTCAATAAACAGAATCTGAATGAAAGACACCACAGTAACTAGACAGTAACGTTTTGAACAGTTCTTAACCCAAAGGGGGGGCTTGGGCAGGCGGCGCACTAGTGACCACGGACATCAGGCTACCAGGACCCCTAGACCGCTCCCTCTACCTGTGACAGGGCTGTGCTTTAGCACAAGGTCATCTGCTGTTCCTAACACACACTCCAAAAGAGAGTGGACTTTTATTTGAGGGGTGCCGGGAACGAATTTGCTAAGGGAACAGTGTGTTGTCATTGTCATTGTTTTTTAAATATTATACCTATTTAATAGGGTGGGAAGGGGAAACCTCAGCTTTTAGGTAGTGTCGCTGGATGATAAGAATATAGAAAATTTGCTGGCTTCATTATGAGTTCATAAAAATGACCAGCTTTGCCCCAGTAGGTTTATCGTGTAACAAAAGTTTTCAAGACAATCCACACAAAATTAACTTCTCCAAAAATCACAGGAATTTAAACCTGTTTCTGGTGATCGACAGACTTCAGTGGGCAGCTCTGCTTCCCCCTTATGCTGCCTTTAACTAGCAACCGCCGCCAAGCGCGTCCCTGTGATTCCGTAAGTGAATGCTGCAGGTTGTCTAATAACCTGGCAAATTCACAGTAGCTTGTCAAATTATTACAGGAACAGTGTCATCACTAAACAAGCCTGATCACGGTTAATTACAATGCAGACTAGAGAGCAGCCACAATTGTTCATTAATTACAGGAAGCACCTCATTTAAATTTTATGGAAATTTACATTTGTACCCCGGTATGTCTGGAAAAAAAAAGGGATCCTTCATGCATTCATAGAAGAAAGAAGTCTGTGGTTTATGAAACAACACAGTAAATTGTGTCTAATCTGGTACTGAAATATTGGTTCATTATTTACTCTAATTTTCTAAGTACTTTAGTGGTGAAAAATACCAAGTCAAACCCCACATCTTCAATTCCCAACCAAGAAAGGAACTCAGCTCGGCTAACTGTAAGAACTTAACACATGACGAAGCACAGTCAGACTAAAGCGGTCACTTTTCTATGCTTAAAAATAAAATATTTAACAGCAGTTAAAGGAGGTCTAAACTAGAATAACCATTTCCCATAAAATAATCATGTCACAGCACAATTTTTTGTGACTGTATCTTACAGAAAGTTCACACCTACTTCAAAATCCACTGAGGAAACTGAAAAAAGTGAGTGAATCAAAGTCTGGATTTCCAGCTACTTTTCTAAATCAAGCTTATTAACACAAACAAGATGGCAGATGCCCTTGCAAAAGTCAAGCCAGGCACAGACTACAAGAATGACAGTCATTCAAAACCAAAGATATATTGAGTGTCAGGGGTCCTGGGATTTACTAAATAATACTGGTGGTTAAATAATCTGAAATTTGAGGGATTAAAGTCAAGGGTTAAAAGAAAACAGGTAAGAACAGGAAAGGGTGCCACCAGTCCTGAGAACTTAGCTAAAACACGAAAGGAAACCAGGTATGGGTGCTGGGTGTCTAAACGAGAATCCTTCATGGGGAAGGATATACACAGCCATGGCTCCTAAATCAAGGTGTACAAGAGGTTATTCTCAGGATCAAGAGGCCAAGCAGCAAATCCTCTGATGGTTATAATGCCTGGCCCTGGGAAAAAGCCTGAGATCCAAGCAGGAAAAGTAAACGACTCTGGCCAAATGCTCTGGTGAGTTCCCTGGAGTGCAGAGTTGGACTGAAAAGTAAGAAGTGGCTCACTCCATTGGAAAAAAAAAAAATCAGAATACACATGCCATGGTGCCATGCAAGAATGAAAGGACTCTGAGCGAAAAGCTACTCCTGGAACTGTTAGCTGGTGAAGAACATATTAAGTGTCAAATTTATTATGACTGACATAATATGAATATGTACCAGATATTATTAAAATGTATAGAAGCCATATTTAGAAGGTAAGATGGAAAAAGGAGAGAAAGAAAGGGTTCAAGGGGGACCCAGTTAATTCACCAATTCACCATACTTGACTATCTTCTAACAGATTCAACTTTTCCACTCAGTCCGCCAAAACACTGTTGCAAGATGAGGACTCTAGTAAAATGAGCACTTTTCTTTGTCCAGTAACTTGGTCTCCTTTGCAAGGCCCATGCTGAACTGTCAACTCCACAATCTGTTTAGCTACCTACAACCACGGGATTTTGCTTCAACTTGTAAAATGTACATTTTCTCCCTTGGTATGTCAAGATAACGTGATCCACTGGTCTCTTTCCATTTTATTTCACGCACCCACATCTGCAAAACCCATCACTCTTTGAGCCACAGTTCAAGGTTCAAGAAGAGATTATCCAACAACCACCCATGACAGACCAGTCCAGGTGACATGTTTGAAGAACATCACTCGTCCTACCCAAAGAGGTCAAAGATCAGACTACCCTTCACAAAGTCTTCTATGTGTCACACACAAGCTGATAGCTTTCGGAAAATGGGAAAGGCATGATCATGTCTGATTTGTGTCACACCTGCTTTTCCACTGTATCACAGCCATACGCCAGCCAGACAGTATCAGCCCACAGCACCGCAGAGCTCAGGCAGTCTTCCCCAGGCCAGGAGTCGGTGTGCAAGAGATGGAGACCCTTCCGTATCCTAAAAACTGAATCCTTCTCCAACCACCACTTCCACCATCATGCCCATGGTGAAGAAGTCAACTTTTAAAACTATTCTTTTTTTCTCATGTTGGATGTCAAATCAGTTAAAAAAGAAAAGTTTTAACACCAACCTCATTATGCTCATCCCCTCAAGTCTTAAAATTTAGAAAATGATGGCCCTTTAAAAACAGTCTGGGTTTGCTCCTCCAAGGAGGTACCATCATGCTGAAACTCCAACATGCATCTCTGCAACAATGGCACACAGATTCCCTAACTATGAAAAGTACCTGGAGGGGAGTGTATAGCTCTGTGGTAGAGTGCATGCTAGGCATGCACAAGGTCCTGGGTTCAATCCCCAGTACCTCCAGTAAATTAAAAAATAATTCTAAAAGGTACCTGGAATTAGAGACAAGCCCTTGGCCAAGATGTCATGGTTCTAAGTTTAATTTGCAATACACACTTCTAACTTCTCAAGACCACACAATGAACTGAACGGCAATTCAATACTTTCATTAAAAATGTGCTTTACTAATAAACTGAATATTACACCAGAGGACATATCTCCCAATCCATGAAGGAGGAGGATACTAATCATCAAGTCCTGTTTTTCTCCCACAGTGCCCGGCTGAATGCCTTCCATCCTGCTGAGCTGGGAGATCGTAATGCAGGAAGCATGACTCGCTCACCATGCATCCCGGGTGTCGAACACCGTTCTCAGCAGGAGATAATGATGACTTTATTTAAAAATGAGAGCTAAGATTTCCTGATTGCCTGTTATAGATGCCAGGCCCTGTGCTAACTGCTAGAAATATGCATTAAAACTTTTTATCCTCATAATCACCTTGGGTGGGAAGTCTCCATTTCATAGATGAGAAAGCTAAAGCCCAATTAGGTTGAGTGACTTGCCAAAGGTCTCACAGCAACTTCTGTTAACCTAGGAAGCCAGCCTCCAGAAGCCGTGTTCTTAATCATTGCATAATATACACGATTTCTTGATTTCTTAAATGAATAACTGAATGATCTCCAGTTACAAACAATTTCTCCTGGACTTTCTGCTGTGCACATGCTACACCGGCCCTTCTTTTATACCTGTCTCAGCAGCTGTCTCTTTCCTGAAGGCATGTGATGTATCTGTACGGCCTTCAGCGACCACTGTTTCTGTCACACAACCCCCAACTAAGAAAACAGTAAGACTCCAACCTGGACTTCCAGCCTCTGGTCTGGCTCCTCCAGATTTGGGCAAAAGTCTGCACCCAGCACTCTGCCAGCACATGCCACTGGGACCTGGGGGAATACGGCTGAGTTAGATGCTGGGTGTGGTGGCTGCTGAGAACTGCACACAAACACACCTGACCCAGGCAGAAGCAGGGATATCCCGACTGCCGTTCTGAAACAGGCCATTATGGCTTCACAGGTTTGTGACACTCAGTAGGTCAAATATATTGTACACATCATACAACCAAGTTTATTAACTACCAGAAGGTACATTGCAAGAAGAAAAAAATCCCCATCAATTTTATTGCCCCCTATATCCACAGCCTGTAGCTTAAAGCAGGCACTTAATAAATATCTCTGGCCTGGAGATGAAAGGAGGAAAGAAAGAGGAAGGTCAAAAGGAAGGATGGGAGGAAATGAGGGAAGGGAAAAAGAAACATGGACTCTCTGCTGGAAATTGGTGACTTTCCCTCTCTTTTAAATTCTCTGAAGTGGGAATTAAGAAAACTGCATTCTACAATGCCTGATGTTCCTCTGCACTCTCAATAGACCTGTTCAAATTCATTTTTGCTATTCCTGGCATAGGCCAGCACAAGCAGACTTTATCAGTATTTATTAATTATTTACTATATTTAAATTACACTTAAGGTTTATGTCTGTTCTAACAATAAAAATAACAGGACAATTGTAATTTAGTGAATAGTTCTCTGAATCTAGAATTCTACAATGAAAGCCACTAAGATTCCTTTTCAAAATTACCTATTATAATTAGTCTCATCCTGAAATATTGCCTTCTTATTAGTCGTTTGTTTACTTCATTAAAAAATTTTTAAGAAGAAGGAAAAAAAGGACTTAGATTTCACTGAAATCTGTTTTCTGCTTTTAAAAGTTTCTCTTGATCACTACTTAATAATTTTCAAACACATACTATCTTTAGTAATCGCACAACTATATATGTGTATGGGAATCTCAATTCATCAGTCAGCTTCATCTTACCTGTGTCTCCTTTCCCCCTCAAAGCCCTCCTTTGGTGTTTTATTTAATATTTTTTTTAACTCCATTTGGGATTATCTGTGCCAATCAATTCTTTCTTCAGAGATCAGTTTTCAGCTAAGCATGCTGCCTTATAAGGTATTTCTGTCTTTCTTTTGGCTCACAAGTCTGTTTGCTTCTCTAAATTTACACAATTTTCAATAAACTCCACTTTGCAAGTTCACAAGTAAGTATCTTTATGTATATGTACACACAAAATACCAATCAACTCTTCACACATATCTACGTCCACCTTTCCTATTCTTTTCAGGTGTCTTACTCTTTCCCTCCTGCCTATTGCCACAAGGTGACACGAACAGAGTATCAGCTGTCTTCAAGGTTAACCACTCTTTACACATGAATTTCATCAACTGGAACCAAGAAGGGAAAGAAAAGGAGGTCACATTTACTAAGCACTTGCAACTTGCTGGTCACCATGTGGATTCCTTCCATACAGATTAACCCTTTTTTTCTTTTCAATGATCTTATGGAACATGAGCACCTTCATTTTACAAATGAAAAAACAGGAGGCTTAGAGTAGGTAAATAACTACCTCAGGGTCACATGATAGAAAGTCACAAAGCCCAAACATAAGAAATGAGAAAAAATGAGAACATATTTCAAAGAGTTAATGAAAAACATGTAATAGCTGCATTTAGTGGCATCCATTCTAGAGGCATTTGATGTTTCATATGAAGGAAATTACAAAGAAGACAAGTAAAGGAAACTGAGAAGGTGTTACCAGAAATCAAGACCTACTACCTGCAATTTGGTCTCGGACAACACAAGCAGCGTTAAAGGGGATGTATCCTCCATCTCGAGGAATGAGAAAGAAATGGGGTGTACTGAAGAGGAGAGCCCCGGCATTTGTGTCACACACAGACCAATGCCCATCCCACCCCACAGATGACCTGCGGAGGGGCACTAATGAGCTCTGTAACAGTAACTCTCCCTAGGGCGCAACAGAAGAATTGCAAAAAAAAAAAACTCTTAGAATATTCCATATCAAGAAGAAACCCAGCAAAAGCTTCCTATAAAACCTGAATGAATGTTACTACTGATTACAGCACATTCCATGAGCCAGAGTGTATATACTGCAAATTAAGTGTAAACAATACTTTATTTCATGTATGCAAAACAATTCCCACTTACCTTAATATTATTTGACCATGCCACAAAGACTAAGTTTCTAGTTCTTTTTCACTCTCACAGAAGGGATTTTATAAACACTCTCAGGAGGAAGGGAGAAAGTTAAACAACTGCAATTACACTCAATTACAACCTCAAACACTTAGAAATACACAGTTTCTGAGAGAAAACAAAAAGTTCTGTGAGTAAGTTGGGAGGAAACTACACCAGGCTACTAGAATGTTTCAACAATCCAAATCCCCAAAATGAACTAGGAGGGACAGAAACAGCAAACATAAATCACCCAACTCCTTATTATTACTCCTTTTCAAATTAAGATAATAAAATACAATGTAGACCTCCTGTTTTCAATGGAATTGAAATTTTAAATTGATTTGGGGAATTCCAATTTTACCTTCTTTTCTTCATGCTAGTGTTTAGCATCCAGTTCAACGTCATGCTTTAAAAAAAGCTCCACCATGGTTTTCACAAACTGTTCACAGTGATTTTGATCTCTGAGAAGTAGTAAGACTACAGGGACTTTTTGTTTTTTATTCTCCCGTTGTTTAAGAGAAACACTTAAGTTAAAACCAAAGACAAGCACTAAACTCATCAGCTAATATTTCTAAATGGCACAGCACACCACAGGTTTCATGACGGGGTGGTAACTGGTCCTTGTCTAAATTTCATTCGACTGGGGCTGTAACAGGAAGTATAGGCCTGGAGAGGGACCCCCGAGCATCCCTAGGGAAGCGGGAGCTGAGCGCACATCTCCTCTCTGCATGTACCTCAAAGGGACCACGGTGTGGGAGAGAGCTCTTTACAACTCACCCTGTGTATAATCAGCGGAAACAAAACATATGACAACAAGCATAAAGAAAAGCCTCTCTCTCTCCTCTCAGGAGAATTTTCAACCAGGGAGGGCCAGTGGGCATTCACTTCAGTGTCAAAAGGGCTTCCAGAAAACACATTTTCTGTGGCACAGGGAGGAAATACAGCAGGCTTCCTACACACACATATGTCCTTTGTTTACAGAGATCCCACATAAAGACTGCTAGGGACCCGACTTCTGAAAAGAAGACTGAAAAGGCTCCACATCATAAATGGAACCTACTGTTCAAAACACCTGAAGCAGAATGGGTGCAGAGGGTGGCTGTCACGAAAGGGACAAAGGAAGAAAGAGGCACAGGAGTGATAACCTGAGAAAAGTGTTACCAAGAAAGGGGCTTATAGAGTCTGGGATGTTTCTTGCAAAGCCAGAGCCCATTTGAACTTCTATTTTTCAACATTTAACATTCTGGTAGGCATTTACCTGATAGGCACTATAAAAGTCAGAGCCTAAATAAACTAACTAACTTCCATGTCAGCTCAAGTCTCTTTGGTGAACTGGCTGTAAGCCCAGAGCAGGTCTCAAGTGTATGTGCTTGGTGGCTTCAACTTAGTGGTGAAGGAATGAGGGAAAGCATCTGAACCCAAGGAAAACTTGGAAAAGAACAGGGAGACAGAACTGGTTTTTAAAAAGAAACAGAGACAGCCCCAAAAGAGCCCCATCAGAGGACTCAGGGGCACGGCTGGGTATAAGCTCTGTTACACTCCAAGCCAGAGAAAAGCAATGACAACTTCAGCCTCATTTCAGTGGTCAGGTAGTGTTCAGCAACGAGAGGAAAAATTACTCAGATAACACAAAGAATTCAGGAAGACCATTCAGCGAAATGGATTTGACAAGTTAGCCAGGAGGGCTTGTGAGAAAGAGCAGATAAGCAAATAAATTAATTACCCAACATTGTAAGGATGGAGATACGCTAAACGCAGTGCTGCAAAACAAGTGAGAAGAATCACTGAAAAGGAGACCTAAGTTGTTGGATGTGCAGTTAATGTCCACTGGCTTTGGAGCCAAACCTTGGGCAAGGGGAGGTTATTTTTATTTTTTGATATACTGTTTTAATGGAGGTATTGGGGATTGAACCCAGGACCATAATGCATGCTAAGCATGTGCTCTACCACTAAGCTATACCCACCCCCCTAAGCCTGTTTTAATCCCAGCTACAGCACTTTGTGAAGCTGGTCAGTAAATTACCAATTCAAAGCCTTGCCTTCTGCATCTGTAAAACGGGAATAATTATATTCACTGCATAGGGTTGACAAGGGTGAAGGAGATGACACGGGTAAAGCACCTGACTCAGTGTGCTGTAGGTACACAAAACAGGTAGACGATACTTCCCAGACAATCTCCCGGCCCTGCAGCACACCATTCCCATCAGGGCTGAGAAGTCTGAGACAGTGAGAGAAGGAATTTGGGGGGTGAGGGGATGGCTGGAAGCAAACTTCAAGTGTCAAAGGAATAATATAAGCAATTAGGGAGCCTAAAAATTATACCTCTTCAATTAGCCTCAATTAGGGGCCAGCTCTCTCACCCTGTAGAAGGCTTCCTAGAATGCCATGTTGAGGCCAACTATGAAGCTCTGTCTAGGCTCTGACACACTGTCGGCAGCCTTGAGTAGGCCGTGGGACCCAGGTCAAAGGTCACAGTAACTTGCACGTGTTATGAGGTAAGAAGTAAACAAGTAAATCTACACATGCGCCAATAGCATGAGTAAGCATTATGAACAATACGCGTGCGCCAACAGCGTGAGCGAGCATTATGAACAATACGCATGTGCGGGCAGAATATGTAAAAAAGGACAAGTGCGCCATGTGGGCGGCGCGCCATCTTGTTGTACTAGAATAAAGTGCGGTTTCGCTCCATGTCAGCTCCTGGCACATTTTTCCAGTTGGGCAGCTCACCTCCTAGAATCCCTCTCCAGTCCCCTTTGGCTGACACACACCGACCATAAAAGTCTTCATGGGGAAATTACTGAGAAGCGACACATTTCACTCTCTGCCATTCCTGCCCCAACCAAGCCCTTCAC